ATCTGTTTTTTCTCGGTGTTCGCTTACGAAATACATAACAATGTACATAGACACGCGTAGAGGAGGAACATGTATCAGGATCGAAGGCGTACACGTGCGAAAACTCGCGAGCGCAAGCGTACGGGGCACGCACACAGAAGATCCTGCGAGCCACGAGGAAAGTCGCATAGAACCGCGTGTACGAGGCAAGAGAAAACGATCGATGCCCTGCAAACTTTGAGCTGGAGCGCGGCAACGAGCACGTGGCACTTGTGTACGTATCTATATATATTGCCCCGCGTACACACTTCCACGCGGATAGAGGAAAAAACCGAGCAGGATAGAAAGAGACGCGGTCCTGTTCAGCTTCCGGGTGCTGCTTTATCGCCTTTAGGGTGCGCGAATTTTTGCCGAAAAAACTTCACTCGCGCCAAGTTTTCACTCTTTTTCTCTTTTAACTTTCCAGAATCATCTCATAATTTTCATTTAAATTTTGAAAGAACTTCGAGGAAAAAAAGAATTTATTACTCGGACAACTTATTGCTTCTACTGAGAATTTTTCTCCTGGAAAGTTGTAGGACACTTACTCATTTTCATTTCTAAATAAAATGAATGTCGGTTTTTTAGAAATAGTCTGGCTACGAGTAAAAAAATGAACTGAAGGGTGGTGGATGGTCAGGATGATCGTTGAAACAGTGGATGCAGACGGTATTCGCAGGGTGAGACCGAAATGGCATGCAACGGAAGGGTCTTCCAGTTAGATGACGAAGGGAGGTGGCGAAGAACAAGAGGAAGAGGACCCTACCTAAAGCAAAACACAAGACCGCGGGATGTTTCGGCTAAGCGGAAAGGGTTTATGGAGAATTGGGGTATCTCGTAAACTTGACCTATCTGACCACGCGTTTAGGATATTGTGCACTGGTGTCATGGAAGCGGAAGTGGGTCAAATTAAATATTAACTAAACCGAGGTGGAACCGCTGGACGGCAAATCCATTTCCATCAACCGGGAAATTCCTTGTCCTGTGAAATCTCGCGTGGATGGGATGTATTCTGTTCAAATATTCAACGTACGTGTGTCCAAATGTATTTTCTATACTATATAATTAATTTCCTCTGTTCTCACTTGGCATTTCTCAACATTTATATATTCTTCAATGTTATTTTCAAAAATATTGTGTAAAATTTCTGTTCGACGTCGTTCCATCGATCAGGAAAAAAACAATCGGCATTCGAGTTCCGGTTTCCGGAAAAAAGAAATTGTTCGCTGGTAATAAAATCGCGCGTACGACGCGGCAGAGCGTCAGAAGCGGCAATGGACGAACGAAAGGGTTAGCTTCGAGATTAAAAGGAAGTCACCCCCTCCGCCCCTCCCTGCCTCCCTCCACGTCTCTCCATCAATCACAATTATATCCTCTCTCTCCCCTGCTATCGTTCATAATTACTGCTCGTGACTTTATCCCGGCGCTCGACGTTGCTGGACCGGGGCCGTACTCCGCTTCGTTCCGTTTCGAGCGACCAGCTACCGATCATGGGGGATAGGTGATCAGAGCGAGCGAAAGAAACCGTTCGAATCTAACAGAGACCGACTTCCAACTTTTCTGTATCCAACAGAAACAGCGAAAGCAACCCGACTTTTGGCCTTTTATCAAGATTTTGTGAAATTCAAGGGGGTGACGCGACAAGAATTCTTACAACGAGAGGAAGAAAAAAGTTCGCGGTTTGAATAAAAACTGAGAAGGAAAGTTTAATCCGCTCAAGGTGCCGGAAGCGTATTCGTCGTTCCTCTGAATCGAGCTTTTAAGCAATCGACGTCAGTTCGTTGGGGTGCTTTTTCACGAAGGAGAGTCGAATGCTCCACTTAGAATTATTGTGATGTTTGGAAAGGATTCGTGACTTGTAGATCAACAGTGTACCGTAATCTGTAAACTGACAGATTTGCTTTTTAAGCAAGAATAGAAATTATTTCTATCTATTCTGTTAGAGTTAATTAGAATTTAGAAATGAACAATTTCACAGCTTTAAGTTAAGTGAAACATAAAATTGTAATTTACGGCCGTTAAAGTGTTAATACACAGTTTACTCCTCGTCTATGGGGGTGGTTAGTGAAAATCACGGTTCGTCTTACTTTTCTCTCACGATGTTGTGGAATAATCAAGCCTAGAGAGGAGTAACGGGAACAGAAGGGATTTCAGAGCGTAGCTCGGAAAGGAGGAAGGATAAAAGTCGAGCTGCGTTGCGAGATTTCTTTCCCCTTTTTCTGATTGCGCGGCAACTAGCGGACGGTAAAAACTGCCGGTGAATAAACAGAATGGAGCAACGAACGGTATGAAAAAAAGAATAATTTATCAGGAACTACTAGAGGATGCAATCCATCAATGAGAAGGGAACGATTTAATTTCTCCACTCGTTCCCTTTATCACTCTCAAGGCACACTCGTAAACGTGACGATTCGAATTAATTCACAATGCAAATTACGTATTCAATTAAACAAGCAGTGAGACAACGGATTCATAAATCACTACAGGAAACTTAATCAATCCGTTAATCATTTCCCATGAGCTTTTCGCTCACTTACAATTTACAATGAACCCTGTTTCTTGATTTACATGTAACACACAATTCGAAAGCTGTAAGTAACCCCAAGTGATTTAAAACTACCGCCCTGTAACCACTAACCAGAAAAGGCGGAGAAACAGGTGTCCAACAGCTTCGAAGTACCTTTCTACCCTTCATCTAAATCTACCCCCGAAACGAGGAAAATTCTATTTCACAAATTCGAGCAATTTCCTCCTTGGGGAACGGAATTTGGATTTTAATATTCCCATTAAGGAAAAATTTCTATTTTGTCACTTTGGCAAAATCAAGGAGTCCAAAGTTTTAAGCTCACAATTAGAGCAAAGAGTCCAAACACCGCACGTCGCCGACCTTCTGGATGGATTTTTGGTATCTATGGGGGTACATGTTTTGGAAAGTACCTTGAGACAGAGAGAAAAATTTCTGTATATCATACGTCGCCGAATTCTTGGCTTTTGCGTATAATGTTGAGGACAAATCTAGGAAACGGATGTTGAGAAGTCATCGTTCTCTTGCCGACGGAAAGCCTGTGCAGTAAGCAGGATAATTGTACATGCTGATATACGGTTGGCCTATTACCACTGGAGAGAATGTAATATATACTTTCCTTCGGGAGGCGACTTCACCCCTCTACCCGTCCTTTTCCGTCTCGAAACGGCTACGATCGTTTCTCTGCTTTCACTCGCCCTTCGACGCAGGGTGCGTGCGCGCATATAAATGGAAACCCTTCAAGTAGCCTCGGTGCCCGCGTTGCCATCCACCTCGTGTGTGCGTGTACCCCCTCTGTACGCACTCCTGGATTACCGTGAAGCAGGACAGACGGGGGTGGAGGTGCGAGGGGTGACCCGACGACGATAGTGCACGACGCTAGCTAGCGATGGGCGTTCAGTTTTGTCCTTCTTGGTGATTTTAGAGCGATTCGAGGTGTACAGAATTTTACTCCGACGTTGAGAATATTTTATTAGGATAGACCTGTGATCTGCATATTTTTAGAATTAATGATGTCTGTTTTTTTAAATATACAAGCAGAATATATTAGATCTTTTAAAATTTAAAGTAAACGATGTCTTGATTGTAAACCCTTTGCTCCCAGATATGTTTAAAATATAAACTGTCATTTAATTAAAACACTATAGCAAAGGGGTCAGCAATACTCTTATTAATTGTATAAAACATTCCTAAAAATAATGTTTAATAAATTACTTAGAATTCCTAGAAAAAAAATAGCAAACAATTGAAACTCGAAGGAAGAAAATTCTAAATGATGGTGGTATGTACATGACGAAGAAGAGCGTCTTGAGCCCATCGCTAGCGGTAGCTAGGACGAGGGTGGAAGCGCGTAGCGCACAAGTGCACGCAGATAGTCGATGTAGGTGCGTTGCACGATCGCTTACGTGCCTAGAAATTCACCCCTTTTTTCTGCTCTCTCTGGCAGGTGACGGGAGGGGGTAGGAGGATTGCGTAGGGGTGGCTGTGCGAGGGGGTTGAGAGTGAATACGGTGCACGGAGCAGCACGCACAAGTACACCGTTTCGCAGAGTGGAACGAAATCTATAGCACGCACTTACGCGGCCGTATATGCGTGCACGCGTACGCGTACGCACCCGCCGCGCCCTGAGGACACCAACAAAGAGAGAGAGAAGGAGAAAGAGAAAGAGGAAGCTTTCAATTTTTCCTGCTATACCTTCGCCACCAGTCGGAAGCCGAGATTCTCGCGGAAGAATACGCGCCTGCCATGGGCGTAGCCTAGCTTCTACTCCAACTTCCTGCAAAGAAGCTAAATTTTTATGATTTTTAATTTTTAGTCGAGAAAAAAATGACTTTTCAATCACACGAAATTATCGGTCGATCGATTTAAACGGGACAGATTTATCTTTATCCTTTCTTATCGAACGAACTGAAACCTTACCCCTTCTCTTTTACTTTTATAATTTCTTTTTTCCGGAACGAAACACGTTGTTCTAATTGATTAATAAATTTCACGAGCTTCCATTGCCGGTGGAGAAAAATCGAAGGAACGAAAGCGTGGAATCGCGGAGGGTTGAAAACTCGAACGATCGTAAATGCCGCGCGCAAAAAGGAAGGGTGGTGCGTCAGTTCGCAGCGAGAAAATTCCGTGCATCCTGCGCGTGTCTGACCTCCTAGCAGTTTACTTCCCTTTCCCCCGATATCCTCTCCCCAACAAACGCCATTCGTCTCCTTTTAGTCCTTTTTATACCAGTCGATGCGAATTGAGATACTTTTATTTCACGACTGCGGAGCTCGCAGCCGCGTATTCAACGATACTCGCGGCTTAACCCACTATTGCTCTCTCTCCCTCTTCTTTTTTTTATTCTCTGTCCTTGATAAACAGTTACGATCACTCGTAAATATACTTCCGCTTTTGCGTGACACTTCCATCGCTTGTAAATTGGCCCTTGGATTGAATTTCATTCATTTCCCGCGAAGGGTAAATACAATTTGTCCTCGCCCCTATCAGTAGAGATGGTTGTGCTTCCATAAGGATATTTTAGATTATGAAAATTGAAAATGTATGAATTTTTATATAAATATTTCGGGAGAATCAGGGATGACGAGCAGTATTTCGGAAGGAAGCAACGATCAATGGTCCATGGAACCCTGGATCAATTTGGGGCTGAATTATGTTTATAATTTCCATTGATAATTAAACTGTCTCTACTACTCGTTTAATACAATATATTTCTAATACTGAAAAATCGTAATGGTACCGGTATTTATCTTTGCTTCTACCTTACTTAAGTTAAAAATTGATTTATGTGCTAAATTAGTGTAAATTACTACTCTTCTCTGAGTGAACCGCTTCTTCGATTACAAAGGATGTCATATTATTACAAAATATGTGTTTTAATGGATTCGAAACATTGTGCAAGGCTTGGATTTACATGTGTTACAATTTTACATAATTGCGCAATTTGAAAATAGTACAACTAGTGCCATCTGATTACAAGCGAAAGAACTAAGAAGAGCGCTCTGCTATAATGTTCAGTATCGATAGGCTACTCTTTTAATAAATTATTACCTACCCTTCTAACAAACTATGATATCATAATTTTAGGTGAAATTATTGTCGTATATTCTATTTACCCTAATGAAGTTTAATTAAAGAAAAGGAAATTTTGTATTTCATTAATTTTGGCGCTTGCAACCAGAGAGCGCTAGTTGGATCATCTTCAAATCGCAGAATTACATACAATGAATTTTATTAATTTTTTTTTAATAATACGATGTTCTTTTATATTATTAAACAAATTAAGTCACAATGATATTATAATTATGAACGTAAACTTTAAAAAGGAGGGATCAGTAATCGAAGGAGCAGTTCAATTATAAAGATATGGTGATTTACACTAATTTAACTTGAGTTCTTAAATCTTTATTTATAAACAATTACCTATACTATCGACAGTAGAAAAGTTAGCGTATCGCACCGTTTTTATAAATATTTGTGTCATATCAGTACGATTAAATCACTCGTATTTAAATCAACATAAAATAGTAAGAAACTGGAGGTACTTTAGTTAAGTATTAAACGAGTAAGAATTAAATAGAAGTACTATGCCAAAGTTCATTAATATCTCTACCTGTAGTCTTATTTCTTTTAATCCATGTACTTTCTTTTCCTCGATGATCAAAAGAAGTTGACAAAGTCCAGCGTTCCTTTAATTTTTCATTTTTTAAGTATTACACCGCTACGTAGACACACTACGAGAATCCTCGCAATGCTGCGTATTAGTGTACACATTCGTCTCGAGCATGTTCTCGAGAGAAATCTTTTCTCGACCTTTCACGATCCGTTTGGTCACATTCCTTCAATAATTCAACATAATCTGACAGCTACAGCCGTGTGGAAACCAAAATACGTCGGTGTACAGCTGGTTTCCGCTTCCTTCCAGCGCCACTAATCTCTTCTGGACATACTGTTGTTGACATTTGCTTGTGTACCCCGCAGGAACAGAGCAAAGAGCGTTACAAGTACTTGTCCTAGAAAGACAAAAACATAATTCAAACTTTATGCAAAATGCTCTTCGATTAAAAAAGAATAGACATATGATTAATACTCTTTCGCTATTTGGAGTCTGTAATTATAAATAGAAGCAATTCGTTTCGTCGATTATCACACTTAGAATTCAGTATTAATGACTTAGCGCTAAATGTGAATGCAAGGTCGAATACAGCTCCGAAACATTCACAAGAGAAATGGTGTCACATTCAGGGTCAATAGAAACTAAGATACAGGAACTAGGTCAAATTCTATCTCCAAAATGATTGGAAATAGAATGTCTATTTCACGTTTCTATTTCAAGTAGCTTATTGATGAAATTCCAAGCCCAAATTTCAAGCGACATTAAGATATCAAGTGAAGACACCAAATGGACAGACTCACGAGCACTTCTCGCTCTTGACAATTTGCGAGTACTTCTGATTCTGGTCCTGAAGATTCACCACGTACATCCAGTTCCCTTGATTGTTCAGGGCCGCCCTCGGAGTGATGTATTGCGGCACCGTGGGACAGATAGGAATCGAATCGACATTAGACTGTCTCTTATTGCGCATTTTGCTCGGTTTGCTGTACTTCAGCAACGGATTCTCGTAGACCGAGCGTGGTGCAGCTTTACTGTTCCGCGTGTATCTGAACGAACGAAGAGAAGAAGGAATAAAAAATTCTGTTGCACCGGGTAAAAATAACGCGCCACGAGCCGACTGCATAATTAATTAACACGTACGATTCGATAATTATCTTCGTGGTTTCCCGTTGTGGTCGAGCATAAATTAGTCACCGCGTTTGCAAATTTAATTAACACATTGGCTACCGTGCGGTTCGCCGATGACCTGTCTCAAGCTAATGATCCCGAAATATGGATAAAATAAAAATTTCTAATTTCTAATTGTTCGCGTTTCTTGCTCGAAGTATATCTTAAGCGGAAACAAGTCGAATAGTACGAAACCATTGATCATCCTTGAATCTTCTGACAGGAGGCAAGCAAAAAGCAGCAATAAAGCTCGGTAACTTAAACGGTATCGCCGCAGAGCGAGCAGCATTCGACACGTCTGAGTAATCACCTGTTTGCCCACCATGTTTGACCCTGTCCAAATGAGTTCAAGGATTGCGATTGAGAATAGAAGTGACGTTCGGGCGTTCGTTGGCCGACAGGATGGTATTTGACTGAAGGTGTTCCATCCACTAAAAATGGATTCCTTTGGGCAGGCGTGCTGTACCTGTAGCTGTATATACAATTAAAGGTTCATTTATATTTTACGTATTCTCTGCATCTGTTTCCAGAAATTTTGATCTACGATGCTTAGATTACGAAAATCGGTAGGTTCAAGCCACGAATAACGTCCTACACGGAATTAGCATCGGAATTACCCATTCTGGTGAGTGTCGTTGGATGGAGATCCGTAAATTAAAGCCGGCTGCCCTCTTAGAGGATACTGAGGCGGTAGAAATGGTAATGGTTGAGAATGTAACTGTGGCCCTCCATGCGGGGTGTAATCATAACCTTCGGCGTAATCCGGCACCGACCTTGAACGAAATTCATATCGTTCTTCATCAGTTTCACATAGACAATGAATTATTGAACAGAACATTAATTGCAACGATACGAATGAAGTTATAGAAAAATAAATCATGATCGCTTAATAAATAGATCACTGAATACAGATGTACCTGTAAATGTTGAAATCGTCTTTGGATTCGTCCCTGAGCACCGAGCTAAAGTCGAAGCTGCATTTTTCCACGAGAAACTTGATCAGCTGTCTGTAGTACAAATAAAAAGTAGAGTATAATAAAATAGGACAAAGTAATTTCGTAGTTGCAACTACGAAACGATCTATGACCCCCCGATTACAATAAAAATTCAGGTGTCGCGCATAATTTCTTGACCTAACTTTAATGAAATCGTTTCAGAAATGTATACAAAAAATTACTTATCCTTTCGTGTTTTATTCATGAGTTCGCGGTAACCAAGTTCTACGACCGATCTCAGTCATTCGTCTTGTAACCATTTCGAAACAGGATAAAATTAAATCGAAAATTATTAAATATTATTAAAAAGAAGCAGTCGTTCGAAATTCTCTGAATGATTGTCTTATTCGAAAATTCTCAGGAGAGAGTGAGTATATCCATAACTATCGCGCAAAGTATTCGTACAAATAGCCTATGAATTTCGAACGTGTGGAACGAGCAAAACGCAAGCACCACGCACCACCACGAATCCCAGAAACTTTCTCTGAGGTGAAAGAAGTCCACCTAGAGATGTGACCCGATGTTTAATTCATGGTCCACGCCTAAAAGCTGTTTTCTCACGACTGGTCACCGCTATTCGAGCGTTGCCGCGATCACATGCTGCATCACGATCGATTCGCTTCCTGTGGACGTTGTCCGACTTTCGAATTGATGTAATTCGTCAATGGACAGAAATCGGAAGACACGAATTGACCTCGAATCCCTAGGCGTCGCTTTAACTCATGTCTCTTGTCACCGTTATATTTGACACCCGTATTTCAACGCCTTTTTTTTGTTGGTTCTTTCTCTTTTTTTTTTACCTGATAAGTGGGAGACCTGGAGAGAAAAGTTGTTTGGACGCTGCCTTTTGCAGGAGCGAGTGTGATAAAGTGTAAATAGAAGTGTGAAGTGTGAAAGTGACCAGTTAATTGCTGGGAGAAGAAGAAAAAACAGATTCATTAGAGTCGAATTAGCCCTTGCGTGAGGAAACAAGCATCGAAGTATTCGTTTCTCTGTTTGTTTTTGAGAATTTTAATACATTGCAGTATCTCATATTAGAAGGGTGAATATCCTACGGACAAGTTCCAACACATCATCTTCATTTCTATCAAACAATTTCCACTGTTGAAATGAAATTTACTCTGACAACCCGCTAATTTTATAAGCACACAGCACCGTTTTCACCAGACTGTACGAGCAACAGCACTGAAATGAAGGCGTCGTAACAGAAGTAGTATGCTATAGCGGAAATTCATGCTACAACTAGGAACGATCGTTGGCGATGATAAATTAATTACGTCCTCTGGATGCATCGCACGAAGGAATATCGAATCGCAGGAGTATCGACTCTGTCCGTAACGGGTCCGATAATTATTAACAACAGGGCATGACCGCGTCAAGGCCACGGTTACGCTACGTTGATCAAGGAAAGAAACGTATCAGAGCGGACGCTCAAGCTCTTATTTATGTCGGCGTCCATTCGTTTTTACGTAACCATTAATTGCTGTCGAGTTAAAGCATCTTCAATGTGGAAAATTCAATGCAGATTTAAGATCCACTGCAATGCAACTGAAACGTTTTTCTTATTTTGTCAATACTGGGGAAACAAAGAATTTTTAACTAAAACACCCAAGGCAAAATTTATCATTCTATAGGTTACTGGAGTATATAGAGAACGGATCCCCAGGATACGGACGTCGAAATTTCGCGTTCGTTATCCTGGAACTTTCCCTTCCCGAAATTCGTCCCGACACGCACGGTCAACCGATTTGTATGCAGGGACAGGGACCACGGCGTCGTCGAGAATATAAATAACAGGACAATGAATTGTATTTTTTATCAATTTCACAGTAGGGGCGAGACATTTTTTGGAAACTTGAAAGACGCGAAGAGCTGTACGGACTAATAGGCATTCGAGTGATTTAAAAGTTTAAGAATCATTTTCCGTGAGTCCGAAGCAAATGTCCTTCGTCCGAGTTACGTTTCCGGTACGCGACGAGTGATCCAGTTTCTTTCGATCGTTTCGCATGATTAGATTGGTCCGAGGACGCAGAATACGCGACCGATACCTTGAAACGACCATTTCTCATTCTCGCGTGGCTGTTAAGAGTTTGTATTATCATGCAAATGCGATAATAACACTGACATCATAGATCTGACATGCGGTATCCCACGAGCATTGTGCGTTCGCACTGTAACTCTGGCCCTTTTTCAGGAATCTTGCAGAAACACATCCGGTGTTTGCCGTATCTCCCCTATCATTCCTTTTGTGCTTGGATAACGAAGAGATCTTGCGATATATTTGCCTAACGTTATCCACGCGACCATTCTAAGGTTATCCCATTATATTAACCCCGTGGTGTCAGTCACTGATGACCCTTACAGCGTTCAACTTGTTAAACTTTATAATGAATTCACATCTTACAATCTACAGAATGATTCCTTATATGTACATGCCAGCGGTTTAATGAATTCATCTTCTTACCGAGGATAATGATCGGGACTTTCACAGAACGTTTGCCCCGGCTTTGCGCAATTAGGAGTGTGCCCAGGAGGTGCAGGTACAAATGGTTCGTACTGCGGTCGTCCTGGACATCCATACTCGAGGCAGGGCTCGTTGTGACTGTTCGCTAACGATGTCTGCAACCAAATCAAAGACAACATTTTAATAAAATATTTTACATAGAAAATTGTCTGTATAAATGACCCTGTTAAATGAGGTAATCACGCGTTTAATGAGAATGTACACATCGGTACACAGTTGATCGATGAACAGGATTGCGGGTGATTAACGTAACTGGAACGCCATTTATACAACAGTTCGATAAAAATTATTAGGAGAAATCTTCTGACGAGTTATTGCGGAACCTCAATGAATCATCCTTCTCTGAAATAGTTTCGTTAACTTGCGGCACTTTATGAACGTAAAAGAATATGTCAGGCGCCATATACTCCCATTCATTGGTTCTTTCTTTTTAAAATTGACCAAGTCGAATGACGAAATCCATTTTCACTTTTATTGAAAGTAAAATCCTACTACTCGAACCAAATATGAAGATGAAATTGATACGAAGGTGTTGTTGCTGTTATTACTCCATTATCAAACATCTAATTATCTAATTAGATAATAGTTTGTTATATCATCGTATTCACGTGCGCGGTATTGAAACGCGTGTTCACCGAAAATAGTCTTCAGAAAACCATTACACTTTCACTTAGAAGCAATCGTTAGAAACACGTACACTAACGCTTCGTGAATTAAAAATATCCTCGGGAAACTTTCGTTAACGATCGCCCCGATTATCCTTACTTTGTATTGAACAATGTCAGATGTATTACAGCATAAATTTCACAGATTTCCCTGATACAAATCTACGCGATTATGTTTCACGTACAGTGATTACAGTGTTGAAATGAGTGAACAAGATTTGGGGCAACTCTCGGTTTCTGAACATTTGATTCACCGTCAGACTAGAAAGTTACTTGTTACTCTTATCGTTCTTAATCACGTTGCATTCATGTTACTCGTAGTAAAAGTTTAATTTTCATCTATACCGATGGCGTTAATGATGGTTTCATCAATCATAAGTCCATGATATTTGAAAAAATTTACTTACAATTATGAGTAGTATGAAAAATGGCCTCATGTCTGATCCGAGCATCGGTCACTCTAACGAGAACACTTCACTGCAATAATTCAAGTCTGTTCACCACCTTTTTATTCTTATCAATAGCGAGTACAACGGCGACAGGTACAGTTTCAGCGACTATGGGTGTTTCGACGGAAACGCAGCGACTAAATTACATAATTGTTACTTGCGGAAGTAATGTTACTGTAACACGATAAACGGTTATCCGCTCGTGGGAGCACGTGCCGGTTATCCGCGCGGGAGGATGTGTTTCGCAAACTGAACGGATCGCGGAAACACTGACGTGCAATCATCGAGTCATTCGCGGTGTATGCGTTTACGGGTATCGTTGGCCGTGAAAACAGTACGCCTCTCTGTGCGAATAGATCTATCTTTCAACAATGAGCGTAACCCAATTAAAGAGCAGTTCACTTTGCATAGGGAAAAAATGCTAAACTTCAAAATAATGATTGTCGAGCTAGCGTTAAAGACTTCGATTAAGAACACCACTGTGTAACGACACGGTCGAAATGAAAAGAATGACTGCGATCGCCTATATCTTAGTCACCGTCACTGTCACTCGTATATATGTATTCCGCACGGTTCGGTCCAGACCACGTCAGGGTTTGTCCTGTGCGATTTTACGCGCGACGATCTTACCTAGCAACGTGGGTAATTCGGTGTACCGATACCTACATTCGAGCTTGTGCCCCTTCCTAGTGTACGCGTGCACGAGTTCCGATCTAGCATCGGCCAGGGTGGGGTATAGGAATATATACTTTCACTGGTGTCCGTGGTGCGTGGTGCGCACTATTCGGACCGACCTTACGCCTTGACAAGATCGCGCTTTGGTCCTTCTCTTCTTAGAAAGTGTTACCAGAACGGGATCAATGAAACTGTATGAGCAAAAGGTCGACAACTTTATGATTTTTCTTTTGCTATATCTATTGATAGACAAGGAGCGGAAGTTGGGCCCAATAGCATTATAAATCCAATAGTAGTTTGAATTGTGTTCCAATTTTCATCATAAATTGTCGTGCAATTGATAGTAATAGTATTTTTCTATTAATTACCGTGATATCTGGTTGATTCTTAATCTTTATAACCATATCAATTTTCTAATGTAGGTTTTGTGAGGATCCAGCTAGTAATTAATTAATTATAATAATTTTTAGATCGATTGCTCGATCCTCGTTTACCTGAGCTGGGGAATTTTCATAGTTTTTTGCTTTCCAGTGATCGATTTCTGTACTTAAACGATTAAACAATAAGGAATAGCATTTTAGTTTTTTCTAATATAGGTATAGGTTTTTCAAGTCTTCTGTAAGTAACTAATGAATTATTAGCAATTTTTAGAGTGATCGTTCCTGTAAGTTTGATTCGTCGACTCTATAATTATTTATAATTAATTAATTACTATTTGGATCCTTACAAAAGCTGTATGTGAAAGTTGCTGCCAGTATGTAGATTAAAAATCAATCATAAAAGTTATAAATGGTTAATTACAAAGAAGTTATTAATAATCTTTCCCTTCGCTGTTAATTTTTAAACATTTCGCAATGTCATCTACGGAATGGGATATTTTCGCATGATTTTATGACATAAAAGTACCGTAAAATGGCATTTATGGTGCCTCAATTTAAAGTCCAGGCCGAACTCCGAATTCCGCATCGGTAAAACAGATCATGTTTGAAAGAAACGGATTCTAGCGCCACCTCAGTTATTGCATCCAACTAACGGCATGCTATACTACGTCACCTTTCGCATACACCTAAATGATACGTGTATGCTACGATAGCTATACGTATAAGTACATAATTAAACAATACTAACCATGCATTCATTATTATTCATTTCCTTCCCGTAAAATTGTATTTGCAATGTGGTACTTCAGAATCTCAAAGGCATAGTTCCTGAAAAAAATATAACACAGATTAAATAGAAAAAACAGCATAAACGCAGCCAATTCGCTCGTATTATTTGCTGCATAATTAATAAATGTACCATAGAAATAATGATACAGTTATTAATTAGTCATCAAATAATAACGATTGCCCAGGTCTCACCACGGGGAGGTTGCTGCGGGTTGAGACCCGCCCTACCTCATCCCATCCACCCTCCATTTATGCAAATTTTTATTTTTATTCAATACCATCATCCTCTTGATGCACATTTGCAAAACGTTTTTGACTGTTGTGCAAACGAACAACAAAAGGAGCATTATTTTTATTCACTACCTACCTATCTACTTATCTATACATATATTTACGTAGATTTTTGCTTTTTATTCCTATCGCAACATTTTTCAATTTTGATTTTAATTACAGATCTGTAATTAATAAATATGCAATTGCATATTTGTCCTACATACTTATACTACTAAGAATAGCTACCTATACGAGCACTCGTAATTATATTAAAAATTCGCTTAAATCTAACGCTTCCTAATTAAACACTGCAGTGTTTTACGATTATATCTTAATGACCATATACATAAATAAGTCCAATGAATTTGTTGATTTTGTTGTCCTCACCAGAATACTTCCTAAAATAAAGCTGAAAAGGATTAAACATAATTTAAGAAAATAACGAGATTCATGTAGCCTTAATCATAAATTTACAACCTGCCTGAAACAAACAGAAAAGGATTAAATACAATTTTTGAAAATAGTACGGTTCAAATATTACCACTTATAAGAATCATTTTTCCTTTTCAATCATTTTCACCTTGTTTTACTTAATTGGATACATTGAATTCCATTTATGGACGCTAGATTTTATATTACATTTCATACTATTATTATTTCATACTTCCTATAAAGATATATCTCTGTAACAGAAACTGATTAATTGAATCCAGATAAAGACAAAGAAAAATTAATAGCTGGAAAGAAGATACATTAGTAACAATAAAATTTTATAAAAGTCAGAGTAGTCGTTAATAACTCAAAATCAATTTGATACAAAATATGAATTTAAAGCAAACTTCAGTACCAAAATAAAGAGAAAAAAATTCAGAGAAATATATATTTGAGTTAAGTGATTTGAGTTAAGAACATTAATTATTTCATTTTATTGTATTTAATATTTGTTCATTTCGCGACAAATAGAACACAATATTTTAATTGAAACAACTGTCTTTTACTGCAATATATAGTACGTACAACCACGACTCTACTCGACTTTATTTCATTATATTATTCAATACACCTTTCAATGCAAATATATTGTAAATTGAAAAACTGGAAAGAAACTCACGAGTGGACTTTGCATTTGAGGAAAAGAATTTGAAAATTTATAAAAGTAATTTAATTAGCTTCTCCGTAAGCTTGAAACAAAACATCGCGATTAAAAATTAAAACTGAACAACTTTAACAACGATCATCCACTACTTTTGTTTAAACAAAGTACAATTAAAATTAAATAAGCAATTTCAAATGAACAAATATTCCTTGAAATAATTTATTACCAAACATCACAAAATAAAATGAACTTCCATTTTAAATAAAACTTTATCGTATTTAATAATATTCTGAAAACATTAAATTCATATATTATTTAACAGTATTTCCAACAACCGAATGCTCAAAATTTCCAAAATTAAAAAAAGGGAAGAGAAAAGAATGTGAACATGGCAGTGGGAGGGAGGGTACAGGGGAACCTGAAAAGAAAAGTTTGACTGCCCATAAGAGCAATCCCTAAGCAAACCCTATAAAAGAAACCGAAATCACACGCAACATTAATTTTAAAATTGCAAACATTCTGAACTATGACAAAACATCGGCTGGCAACGAAGGGTCTCACGCCCCCTAGACTTACGCCAGACGCTACATACCACCCACCCCGCCTGGACGTCGTAACGCCAGGACAGAGTGCACCCCTTCGCTAAGAGCGCTACCCGCCCGTCCAACACGTTGCATCCAACGGTGTCAGATTTGCGGACGCCCATAGTATAGACAAAAGGACCACAGTTTAGAATATGGTAACATATGGAAGTGTTCCGTATTCTAAAGCTGCGCCTGCAAAGGCCTAGTAATGCATGGGTATATCTCCCAGAGATGGTGTTCACGGTCTTAGGCCGCGGAATCCTTGACTAGCAATGGATTCCCACCGAATGTGAGTCATAGTTACTTCCACTAATTTAATAAATGCAAAAAAGTAAAAAATTTAATATGTACAAAAGCGTACGCGCGAAGGCTGCTCCATTATGCGCAACACTGAGCTGAAAAAAAGAAAAAAAGAAAAAACGCGAACTGTAACGCAACACTACTCAAATCTACCGAATTTTGTAAGACGCAACACTAATCTAAAAAAGGGGTACAGCCAATCCAAGGCTGTACCACGGCAGCTGGTCCATAGCTACCTTATGGACCATGGCAACTCCACTGGATTGTTTTTGGGCATTTCTAATGCAAAACGCGGAAATTCATTACCGCAACACTAATTAGCAGGGAACTCTATAAACTAATGCAAAGCAATCGCGTATTTATAAGTCGCAACACTAGGAAACAATCGCGCTAATGTCATTCGCAACACTATCTTTAATAGACATGCAATTAAAATTCAAAAAAGGGGGATTCTCAAACCGTGAATTTTTTTCTCGCAACACTAATTTCATTAATTATATAATATGTACAAAAGGGTACGCGTGAAGGTTGTTCCAGTATACGCAACGCTACGCTGAAAAAAAGAAAAAAAGAGAAAACGCGAACTGTAACGCAACACTACTCAAATCTACCGAATTTTGTAAGACGCAACACTAATCTAAAAAAGGAGTACAGCCAATCCAAGGCTGTATCACGGCAGCTGGTCCATAGCTGCCTTATGGACCATGGCAAAAACACTGGATCGTTTTTGGGCATTTCATCATATATCGCAACTCTAATGCTAAACGCGAATATTCATTACCGCAACACTAATTAGCAGGGAACTCTATAAACTAATGCAAAGCAATCGTGTATTTATAAGTCGCAACACTGGGAAACAATCGCGCTAATGTCATTCGCAACGCTATCTTTAACAGACATGCAATTAAAATGCAAAAAACGGGGATTCTCAAACCGTGAATCTTTTACTCGCAACACTAAAGCAATAAACATTAAAAAGCAAAACTCTAAAAAATCTTAAAGCAATCAACATTGAAAAGTTAAATTCTATTTTAAAGCAATGCAAGAAAGAAACGCGATATTTAAAGTTCGCAACACTAAATGAAAATCGCGATAATCATGCATACGCAACATTAAATTGAACCGTGATCGATATTCATTCGCAACACTAAATTGAACCGTGGTCAATATTCGCAACACTAAATTGAAAACGCGATTTGCCCAAAATGATGGGGGTCACGGGCCCCCTCTTCTCCTGCAATTACAAAACTACAACTACAGGCAAGCACAGTGACAAAGTAGTAACGATAATGATTTCCCATCCTTTTTTGCAAAAGGATGCAAAATTATTAGTAGTTCCCCTCTTGAAAGACAGTTTGTCGGGGCGCTTCGGCATATAGCCTTTTCTTTCTTCGGGCGGTCCACCCACCTGAAACTTATATCTAAAGCTCGAGACTTGCAAATTCGCAAAACAAAAATAAAACAATCAACAAAAAAGAAAAATCGCGAAACTCTAATTGACACGTGGACGAAAAAGGACTTTATACATATAAGTCGTTGTTCGTGCACACGTGCCGTGCTCGAGCAGAACTTGTGCG